AGGGAGCAGCGGGCAGGACGGCAAAGGAGAGACCGTCTGCCAGGAGGCGGTGCTAGGGGGCTACAGTTATGGGGTCAATGCAGGGTTAAGGGGAACCCGGAATGTCTGTGGGACCCGTGCCCGGGTTAATGTAAGTCACAGGTTAAGCCTGTGGCCACAGCCGATGGTGCTGGTCACCAGGAGTCTGTAAAGTATTCAGCTGTGTGCTCACTGCGCCCTTTGCTGCATATCTTTCCATCACTCAGGCCTGTTGCCTAAAAACGGTCCATACACTGTGATTCTTCCCCCTGTGTTAACGTGAGTGGTGGCTGTGTCCCCATCAATCCCTCAGGGACTCTTCCTTCTCGTGCCCTTTTCCTTGAATTCTGGGCCTTGGGTTAAAAGTTTGAGCGGCCCTGCTGACTTCCAAGTTTCTTAAGGCCCCGGACTGGTCTTACACACCAGGTGTGCCAGGCGCCTGGGCCCTGGCCTGTGTCCGTGCCCAGAGTCCACCTAATCCGGGAAAAGGGTCGTGTCTGCCTCTGTCGGAAGAGAGGGGACTCCAGCAGGCTTCTTCCCCTTGTTACTTCCAGGGCGAGAGCTGCTCACATCAAGCAGCACTGGAATCCGAGTGTCCACAGCATCCTGACATTCTGGTTCCAGTTCTTGGAGCTGATGATGAAGCGTAATCTTCTTAGAGCAAGCCAAACGTGTGTCCTCCAAGTCCTGTGTTATCTGAGTGAATATTTCATGTTTCAATCTGTACAGTATCGATCTGTTCAGATCTGTCTCAGTGTAAATAACCCAGTAAATTGGGTGTGTGTAAGTCTATGTCAGCTGTTGTCCTCACCCTCTGTTGTGACTCAGGGGTCCTAGGAATGGAGTCAGCTCCCTGCCTGTCACCCACACCCTTCATTCTCTAACCCACACCCTTCATTCTCCCACACACGTGGGTGCAAATGGCGCTTTGCAGCAATAGAGTGTGTGGTATGTTTCAGGCCTCTGTGGTCTTTGAGGATGTGGCTGTGAACTTCACCCCGGAAGAGTGGGCTTTGCTGAATCGTGGTCAGAGGAAGCTCTACAGAGATGTGATGCTGGAGACCTGCAGGAACCTGTCTGCTGTGGGTAAGGATGGCTCCATACCTTTACTAGTCATTTAGGGAAGAAATGTTTCTTACAATTGGCTATTCTTACTGGGCCGGAGGAATGGGAATACATTGGAAGAAGGACAGAGTTGTTCCAAGCATTCATGAAACCTATCTGGAGTCATATAGCTTTTCCACAAAAGCATAGTTTTATGTGTTAAATTGGTTGTTTATTACCCTGTTTTTTTAAGTTTATTTATTTTGAGAGGGAGAGAGAGTGTGTGTAGACACTACTCATGAGAGTGGGGGACGGGGAGAGAGAGAATCCCAAGGAGGCTCCGCACCGTCAGCACAGAGCGCAATGTGGACTTGATCTCACGAACCGTGAGATCATGACCTGAGCTGAAACCCAGAGTTGGGTGCTTAACCAACTGAGCAAACCACCAGGCACTCCAAGGCCACTAGTTTTAAGACCAAGAAATGTTGCCGACTTGCTACATGCCAGCACAGGGAGGAGACAAACAAATATGTTGTAAAGGAAACAACAGGACAAAACCACTGAAAATGAGCTACATGATATGGAGATAAGAGACCTACCAGAGACAGAGTTCAAAGTCATGGTCCTGCAGATCCTCACCAGTCTTTTGAGAGAAGAGTGTAGAAACACAGCCCTTCAACAAGAAGATAGAAACTATAAACAAAAACCAGTCACAGCTCAGAGTTTCCATAACTGGCCTGAAAAACGCCAGATGGGATCTGCAGGAGGTAAGAGGATGTTAAGCACAGATCAGTCATCTGGAAGATGCACTAGTGAGAAGCCACCAGGATGAACAGCAAAAGAACAATACTGACAAATAAGTGAGGACAGGTTCCGGGACCTCTGTCACTACTGGGCTGCTTGGTTCTTGTCCTGGATGCACCAAAGAATCGGAGACGTGTACCAGAATGGGGAGCTGGGGTGGCTTGAGTAGATATGCGTAGTCATTGCGCTTTCCATTAGAGAAAAGGGGCCCCTGCTGGAGTAAGAGGGGCAGTGGCCCCAGGATGCTCTCCTTTGAAGCCTGCTTCGTGTACGTGTAAATTTGCCTTTGGTTGACATTTTGACTGGCAAAATGGTGGTTGTAGAATATTTGGGCTTCTGTGCCTGTGCCTGCTCATGATTCATTCTGTTAGAATTGTACAGATTTATATATTGTCTACTTATGAGTTTTTGCTATTTATGAGTTTTATCAGCTTTTGCTGTAACCTTAAGAGTAAGTTGCACTCTTTCTGCACATGGCTCAGCTCTTGAAAGTCCCAATGTGGCTTTTTGGTTTTGAATTTTTTTTTTTTTAGAGAGAGAGAGTATGCAAGCAGAGGATGGGGCAAAGGGAGAGGGAGAGAGAGAGAGAGAGAGAGAGAGAGAGAGGGAATTCTCAGGTTACACGCTAAGCACGGAGTCCAAAGCAGGGCCTGATCCCATGGCCCTGGTATCATGACTTGAGCCAAAATCAAGAGTCAGATGCTAAACAGACTGAGCCACTGAGGCTCCCTCATACACACCCCTCACACACACCTCCCTCATACACACCTTTGTGGCTTTTGAGCCAGCTCGGTGGCTAGGCCTTTCCTGTTTTGTTAGCCCTTAGAGGTGGCTCTGTAGGTGTGGCTGTTAGCCCCACCCCCCCACCACGCCCCACGTAGGGGTGGCTCTGAGGTTGTGGCCAGATCTGTTTTATCCCTCCTCACTCATGTTTAACTAACTGCCCCACACTATACCATGTCAGGGGGAATAACATTTTAGTAGAGAAGTCTAAGGAGGGGAAGAGAGAGAAAGGGGCAGAAACTTACTAGAAGAAACAAAAGCTGAGAATTTCCCTAGTCAGGAGATGGGAACAGATATCCAGATCCAGGAAGGACAGCAAGCCTAAACAGGATGAACCAAAGGACGTTCATGCCAAGACTTATAATAAAATGGGAAAAAACTTAAAACTAAGGAAATAAGGTCTAAGAAGAAAGAGAAAAGCAAACTGTAAACTCTAAGGGAAATTTCGTAAGGCTGTCAGCTGATTTTTTTTAGCAGAAACATGGCAAGTCAGTGGGGAGTGCCATAATACTTTCGAAGGGCCAAAAGGAAATAACTATGACCAAGGATATTCTACCAGGCAAAGTTAATCATTCAGAATTGAAAGAGACAGAGCTTCCCAGAGAAAAATAATTAAAGATGTTCATCACCATTAACCCAGCTTTACAAGAAATCTCAAAGGACTTCTTTTAAGTGGAAAAGAAAAGGCCATAAGTAAAAGCATGAAAAGTATGAAAGGAAAAACAAAATTGCTGGCAGAGGGGCACCTGGGCAGCTTAGTCAGTTAAGCATCCAATTTCAGCTCAGGTCATATTCTCACAGTTCCTGGGTCCGAGCCCCATGTCAGGCTTTGTGCTGACCGCTCAGAGCCTGGAGCCTGCTTTGGGTTCTGTGTCTCCCTCTCTCTCTGCCCCTCCTCTGCTCACACTCTGTCTCTCTCTCAAAATAAATAAACGTTAAAAAAAATATTTTTAATTCCTGGTAGAAGCAAATGTGTGGTAAAGATAGTAAATCAATCACTTACAGAATTAGTATGAAGGTAAAACTCAAAAGTAGTAAACTCAAAAGTTGTATCTTGAGGTTACTCAAGGGATATACAAGAAAAGATGTGAAATATGTGGTTCCTGGCTGGCTCAGTCAGTAGAGTGTGTGACTCTTCATCTCAGAGTCATAAGTTCAAGCCCCATATTCATTGGTGTGAACCCTTGGGGAAAAAAAGACATGAAATATGACATCATACCCATAAAACGTGGGGGAGTATAAATGTGTTTTAGAATGTGTTCAAATAAGCAATTATTAATGTAATACATACTGCTGTATGCACAAGATATTACATATGAACCTCATGGTGACCATAAACCAAAACCCTATAATCCATGCACAGAAAATAGTGAAAGGTACACAAGCAAAACATTAGGGAAAGTTGTCAGATCACACGAGGAGAGAGCATGAGTAGAAAGGAACAGAGAAGAACTATGAAAGCACTTAGAAAACATTGAACGAAATAGCAAGAAGTACATGCCTCTCAATAGTTACTTTCAGTATAGGTGGACTGAAGGCTCCAATCAAAAGATCTACAGTGACTGAATGAATAAGAAGAAAAGACCCATGTATATTCTGCCTGCAAGGGAGTCACTGTCACCCAGTGGACACAGACTGAAAGCCAAGCAGATGGAAATAGATTTTCCATGCAAATGGAAGTGGGAGAAAAAGCAGAGGTAGAAATACTTCTATGAGATAAAGCAGACTTCAAAACAAAGACTGTAATAGACAAAGGCCATGACACGATGACAAACAGATCAATCCAACAGGGGGCGTATAACAATTGCATATATCTATGCATCTGACAGGGACACCTCAATATATAAAGCAAACATTACTAAATACAAAGGCAGAAAATGACAGTAGTACAGTAATTGTAAGAGAATTTAACACTCCACTAATGTGAATGCATTGAACGTCTAGACTAATAATCAGTAAGGAAAGAATGGATTTCAATGACACATCAGACCAAATGGACTTAATAGATGTATTCAGGACAGTCCATCCCAAACAGTGGAATACACATTCTTTTCAAGTCTGCATGGAACATTCTGCAGGATAGACCATAGGTTAGGCCCAAAATTTTACAAGTTGCAGTAAATTTAAGACTGAAACCATACCAAGCATGTTTTCCACGCATAGCAGTATGAAAGTACAAGTCAAGTACGAGAAAACAGAAGGAAGCTCCAACGCATGGAGCCTAAACAGAATGTTACTAAACAACCAAGAAATTAAAGTGAAGTTGTTAAATACCTCCAGGTATTCACTGAATGAATGCAGTGATGGAAGATTTTTGGCATGTGTAGCATAAGCAGTTTGAAGAGGGAAGTGTATAGTGACACAAGCCTACATCAGGAAACAAGAAAAATCTCAAACATTCTACCATTGCACCTAGAGTAACTAGAAAAAGAACAAGCAAAGCCCAAATCATAGCGAACAGAGCAGAAATAAATGAAATGGAGATTTAAAAATAGATCAATTGCAAGAAGAGCTGGTTCTTTGAAAAGATAAAATTGACAATATCTGGTGAAAGTAATCAAGAAAACAAGAGAGAAGGCTCAAAATTAGAAATGAAACTAATGAAACTAGAAAGAAAACTTGCAATCAACACCACAGAAATACAATGGATTAAAATAGATTAGCATGAGAAATTGTTTGCCAACAAACTGTACAAGCTAGAATAAATAGACAAGTTTTTAGAAACTGTAATCTGCCAAGGCTAGATCAAGACGTAATAGAAAATGTAAATACATCCATTACAAGAAACAAAATTGAATTACTAGTGAAACAACTCCTAGGAAAAATCCAGAACCATCCAGATGGCCTCACAGGTACATTCTACCAAACATATAAAGAAGAGTTATACCTATCCTACTCAAACTATTCTCAAAAATAGAGGCGGAAAGAATACTTGCAAGTTCATTCCATAAGGCCAGCATTACCCTGATACCAAAACCAGACAAAGTCATTACAAAGAGAAAAAAAGTTACACAGGAATATCCCTGTTGAACATAGATGTCAAATATAAAACAAAATGTTAGCAAACTGAATTCAAAATATATTCAAAGGAGCATTCACCACAATCAAGTGGGATTTATTCCATGGATGCAAGGATTTAACATAAGCATATCCATCAACATATGATACACCACACTAATGAGATAAATTATTAAAAATCATGTGATCATGGGGCGCCTGGGTGGCGCAGTCGGTTAAGCGTCCGACTTCAGCCAGGTCACGATCTCGCGGTCCGGGAGTTCGAGCCCCGCGTCAGGCTCTGGGCTGATGGCTCAGAGCCTGGAGCCTGTTTCCGATTCTGTGTCTCCCTGTCTCTCTGCCCCTCCCCCGTTCATGCTCTGTCTCTCTCTGTCCCAAAAATAAATAAATGTTGAAAAAAAAATTTAAAAAAAAAATCATGTGATCATCTCCATAGATGTAGAAAATCTTTGGACAAAATCGAACCTCCATTCCTCATAAAAACTCTCAAAAAGTGTGTGTACAGGGAATATACCTCAACAGAATATAGGCCACATATGACAAACCCATAGCTACCATACTCAGTGGTCAAGAGCCAAAAGTTTTTCCTCTATGATCAGGAACAAAACACGATGTCCACTCTCACCACTTTGATTTAACACAGTACTGGAAGTCCTAACCAAACAAGTCAGACAAGATTAAGAAATATGCAAACTGTTAAGGAAGATGAAAATATGGTCAATATTTGCAGATGATTTGAAACTATTTATAGGAAATCCTTGAAACTTCACCAAGTACTATTAGAACTAGAATCATTGAAAGATACAAAAGTAATAATACCTAAGTCTGTTGTTTTTCTATAATAACAAAATGACAGAAAGAGGAATTAAGAAAGCAATCTCATGTTTAGTTCCTTCAAAAACAAGAAAATATAGTGAATAAATGTACTCAATGAAGTTGAAAGGCCTGTACTCTGAAAGTATAAGACATTTAATGAATGAATTGAAAATGACACAATAAGTGGAAAGATATACCATTGTCATGGATTGTAAGGGTTAATATTGTTAAAAATGCCCATACTATGAAAAGCACTCTACATATTCAATGCAATCCCTATTGACATACTAATAATATTTTTCAAAGAACTAGAGCAAAAATTCTAAAATTTTTATTGAAACAGTAAAGATTCCAAATAACTAAAGCAATGCTGAGAAAGAAAGCATACCAAAACTGAAGATACAACAGTCCCAGATTTCAAACTATACTACAAAACTATACGAAACAAAACAGTATCGTACTGGCACAAAAAGAGACCTATAGATCAAGAGAACAGAAGAGAGTCCAGAAATAAAGCCATGCTTATATGGTCAAATCATCCACAAAAAAAGGAGCTGATTGTATACAATGGGAAAAAGACTATCTCTTCAATAAATGGTGTTAGAAAAATGAGACAGCTACCTGCAAAAGTAAGGCTCGACCACCTTCTTACATCATCTCACACAAAAGTAAACTCAATATGGATTAGATACTTATGTGTAAGACTTGAACCCACATACCTCTTAAGACAAAACAGAGGAGATAAACTCATGGACGTCATCAGCCTTGGCAATATTTTTGTGGAATTCTCCCTTCAGGTAAGGGAAACAAAAAGAAAAATAAAAAATGGGATGAGGAACATAACAGACATTTTCCTAGAGGAGATATAGAGTGCTCAATAGCACTTATCCTCAGAGAAATGCAAATCAAAACCACAGTGAGCTGTCACCTTAAAGCAGCCAGAATGGCTACCTCCAAAAAACACAGGATATAACGAGTATTGGTGAGGATGTGGAGGAAAGGAAACTCATCTTGTTGGTGGGATTTAAATTGGTGCAGCCACGTTGGAAAACAGTATGGAGCTTCCACAAAAAGCTAAACATAAGTACCATAAGGTCCATAATTGCATTTCTGGGTAGTTCACCAAAGAAAAAACCAGGACAGTAAGATACATGCACACCCCCCCCATTCTTTGTGGCATTAGTCACTATTCTCAAGATATGGAAACAATGCAGGTGTCCATCAACAGATGAATGGATAGTGAAGATGTGGTATCTACATACAAGGGACTATCACTCAGCAATATGAAATGGATGAAGTCTTGCGATTTGTGACAACTTGGATGGGTCTAGAGGGTATTATTCCAAGTAAATAAGACAGAAAGACAAACATTGTCTTTTATATGTGAAATCTAAAGAACATAATGAACAAACAAACAGCAGAAAATAAGGATAGACCTAGAACTACAGAGAATAAAATGGTGTTTGTGAGATTGGAAGGGGATGGAGAGACAGGTGAAATCATGGAGGGGATTGAGAAGAACAGATTTGCACTTATTGAATAAATAAAGAAGGAAGGAAAAGTAGAGCACAGAGAATATGGTCAATAATTTTATAGTAGTTTTGTATAGTGACAGTAATTACACTTATTATGGTGAGCACTTTTTAATGTATATAATTGTCCAACCACTATGTTGTACAACTGACAATAGTGTAGATCAATATGCTTCCACTAAAAACAAAACAAAACACAGGTATCCATTAGCAATGACCTTGAAGACTATGAATCCATCTTCCAAATTGCTTGATGCCCTTCAAATACTCCCCCCTGCTGAGCTGTTCTCCAGGGGCAGGGCAGTAGCCACACACACCACCCGACCTCCCGTTGGCAGCTGGGACAGTGCAGAAGGCTTCACCAAGGGCCTCTGTGCCTTCAGGACAGACCAGCAACCCTCGGGTGCACCAGGTGCCAGAGAAGGGAAAAGCATTTGGACACATCCATTAGAAAGGAGACTCAGTCTTTCTTTGAGAAGATGATGTTTGTCATTCACTTGGCTTCCCTGCCAGACTTTTCATCCATTCTCACCGTCAAAGTGAGCCTTTTGTGTTCCTCTTGTAGGGGTAGGGGTGGATGTGTGTATCTTGCCTAGTTAGTATCTGATAATAATCTGATAATACTTATCTCCACATTGGTCTCCATATATTTTGAAGTATGGCTGAGTAAAGAGGCTGCCATTTCATACACTCTTCTTCTTAATGGCAAAGTCCCAAACCACTAGGGTCCCCAGAATTTTTCTGTGGTCGTGTGTCCATTCTTCCTGATGAACTTCCTTTACATTTTGGGATCGGTATCTGACTGGAAGTCGATGTAAGGTCTATTTCTTATCCTGAAACCTCAGACCATTCCCAAGAAATTAAATTATGCTACTAATTCTTGCAGGTTGTCGAAGTCAAGGTAACACAAGTACATCAAGGCCTCAGTGGAGCATTTTGCTGAATGAGCCGCTGGGGGAAGAGAAAACAGGAATATTTACAAGAAAAGATTCGTGTTCTGTTTTTGGAGAAAAGCAGACATTTTGTAGCAGAGGAGATCACCTGCAAACCCAGGAAGGGCATTCAAGGTGACTGACACTTGCATGGGAGGAACGAGGATGTTGGCGATTATGAGACTAGAAATTAAAGAACAGCTGTAAGCCTAGCACAACAATTGTGTAGTCGGAATTTTCACAAGACAGAGTTTTTTGTTTTTAAAAAAAAATTTTTTTAATGTTTATTTTTGAGAGAGAGAGAGAGACAAAGCATGAGTGGGGGAGGAACAGAGAGAGAGGGAGACACAGAATCCAAAGCAGGCTCCAGGCTCTGAGCTGTCAGCACAGCCCGACACGAGGCTCAAACCCACAAACTGTGGGATCATGACCTGAGCTGAAGTCGGATGCTTAACCGACTGAGCCACCCAGGCGCCCCACAAGACAAAGTTTTTATAAATGCATTGTAGATATTGATCATCTGTAAAACAATTCAGTTGGGAAGAATGATCAGGGAAAACTATATGTAAGAAGCCCAGAAAGTTATGACTTTGAGTCCTTAGCCAGAGCAGTAAGCTTGTACCACTTTGTAAGCATGGAGACAGTGCCACAAACATACCCATTCATTGACAATGGCCATTAGGTAGTCCAATAATGATTAACAAACATCAATATATCATTAATTAATAAAGAGATCGCTTATAAGCATTATTCCCTAACCATGTGCCTTCCTATTTTGAACAGAAGTCCTTTGGTGGAGAGTGTCTGTGAACGTATTGAAGGAGATCCATGTGGAGAAACCCTGAACCTGATTACAAGTCTTACTGTGCATGAGGGTTATCCTACTAGAGGCAAATCCTGTCAACATGCTAAGCGTAGAGAAGCCTTCGCAGATGGTTCCTTCCTTGGGAAGCCAAGAGGATCTCACCCAGGACTCAAACCTAGTCCCGGTGAGGAGTGTGGGCTAGCCTGCAGCTGCGTCGTGAGCCTCAGTGCTCACACGGACACAGACCTTATAGAGGAACCCTATGAAAGTCAGGACACTGGGAGAGTATCTAAGACATCGAAGAGGCTCAGTAGTAAACAATCTCTAGAGTGCAAGAAATGTGGAAAAGCTTTCACTCGCACGTCTTCCTTTCAGGGTCATGTGCGAGGTGACTGTGGAAAGAGAGTCCATGCGTGTGACGTGTGTGGGAAAGTCTTCAGGTATAACTCAAGCCTGCGGACACATAAGAAAACACACACTGGGGAGAAGTCCTATGAATGTCAGCACTGTGGGAAAGCCCTCTCTGGTCGCAGTGCCCTTGTAAGACATGTGAGAACACACACAGGGGACAGACCCTATGAATGTAAGGAATGTGGGAAATCTTTTTGGAATTGTGGACATTTTAATCGGCACATGACCATGCACAGTATGGTGAAACCCTGTGAATGTAAGCAGTGTGGCAGAGCCTTCCGGGATCAGACAGATCTGCGAATCCATATGAGGACACACACGGGGGAAAGACCCTTTGAATGTCAGCAATGTGGGAAAGCCTTCAGATATCTTGGAAATCTGCGAGAACATATGCGGACACACACGGGGGAGAGACCCTATGAATGTCAGGAGTGTGGGAAAACCTTCAGGTACAACTCAAGTCTGCAAGCTCATGTGAGGACACACACTGGGGAGAGACCCTATAAATGTCAGCACTGTGGAAAAGCCTTCATTCGACACCACACCCTCGTACTACATACTACGAGAAGACACTCAGTGGGCGGACACTTGGAATGTAAGGAGTGTGGGGAAACTTTCAGGAAGCATCGACCTTTTGAACGTCACATGACCACACACAATGTAGTGAAACCCTATGAATGCGAGGAGTGTGGCAAAGCCTTCAGGTATCACAGAGACCTACAAATACATGCGCGGACACACACTGGGGAGAGACCCTATAAATGTCAGCACTGCGAGAAAGCCTTCACCTCCTCTGAGAACCTGCGAGTGCACATTAGGACACACACTAGAAAGTGACCCTATGAATGTCAGCAGTGTGGGAGGGCCCTCAAGTGTCCATCACACCAGGAAACACATACGTGGACACACACTGGGGAGAGACACCATGATTTTAAAGAGTGTGGACAAACTTTCCAGAAGCGTGAACATTTCAAACATCACTCGAACATGCACAGTGCAATGAAACTCTGAATAAGCAGCGTGGCCTCCTGGGATCACACACATCTGCAGGTACATATGAGAACACACACTGGGGAAACTTTGTAAATGTCTGCTCTGTGGGAAAGCCTTCGTTTGTCTCTCTTCCCTTCAAGGACACACGGGCAAGCACAGTGACATGAAACCCTATGAACTTCAGCACCGTGGAAAAGCCTTCAGGTATCCCAGGAACCTGTGAGCACAGACACACTGTGGGAAAGCATTTATTCTCCCTTAAAATTTTATTGGGAATGTGAGCCAACACACTGGAGATGATCCTGAACAAACAAGATTTTGGGAAAACATCAGGTATAGAACTTGATGTATTTTGTTCACAAAAATTCTGGCAGGACAGAAGTCTTTTCATTGTTATGAATATGACTTTGTCTTTCAAAGTGCCTCTTCCTTAATGGGGATCCCAAATGTATGAATTCCTAGTTCATGTCCCTGATATGAATGCTAATGGTTTTAAGTGGCCTTCTTTCTCCTCTGCATCTGTACAACATAGATGTTTTTGTCTCAGATTTCAAGTAATCACACTGTTATGCACAACATGTCTCCTTTCCATTAGTATATATCTTGGACCCAGGAGTGAGAAGAGAGAGTGTGTGTGTGTGTGGCCGTGTGTGTACAACTTTATATAATTATAGAAAAAGATTTATTTAATTTCACCTTGCAGAATGTTTCTAGTATATGATCACAACATGTAGACTTCTATTGTTGAAAGTTCCGTTCTCTGTTGCAGATACTGGAATTTCCTGAGTCAGTACCTACTCTTCTATTCAATCCTTATTATTAAAGGATATATTTTCACATCAGTTCTCCTTTTTTTTTTTTTTTGTTATTTATTTGTTTTGAGAGTGGGGAGGGGCAGAGAGAATTCCAAGCAGGCTCCACACTGTCCACATGCAACCCGATGCAGGGCTTGATCCCACGAATTGCAAGATCAGGACCTGAGTGGAAGTCAAGAGTCAGATGTTTAACTGCCTGAGTCACCCAGGTGCCCCGAGCTCTCTCTTTTTATTGAACGGACAATTGGTAAACTTCCAATATTGTTTCTTTTTTGGGACTAATTTTTGGTGTCCGTGAATTTTGTGCCAAGTTGTGACTTCGAAGGACATCCCTTTGCACCATGACTCAGGTTTGCCCGTTTGTTTCGATGAGCAGTGATTGTGGTGGAAATCCTTATGAGGTGCTTTCCTCTGGCCCCCAGGACATAATACCTGGGGTGCCTAGTACCCCTAATATCAGCCACATCAGCTGGCCAAAATATAGCATCTGATAAATTTTGGACATAGGAACCTCTTCAGTTTTATCCCCATTGGAGATAAAAACACCTCATTGTTTCCATAATATTCCAGAGTCCTGAGGTACCCCAAGTGTATACCAACTATCGGGCTAAATGTTTTTGGTTTTGCCCGTGGCTAAGGCATATGG